GTTTTAATATAAATTCTTTATAAAAATTATTAGGTTCTAACACTATTCACTAGTCTAACAAATAATTGAACTCCCTTTAACTACTCAACATTTGGACAAGTAAGCGAATAGTGATAGTATTATAGAAAGTTCCAATACATTCAATGCTAATCTGCTTTAAACTTTATATAAATTGTTTAATAGGTAAACAAAACTATTTCCTATATCTGATAAAACTAAAGCTACCGTCTCCACTATCACGTTTTCATAGAACATTAATCGATGACATCTAAAAACTTTAGCTTTTTAAGATATAAGTAAAGTTACGTTCCACTCGCAATATCATATCTGGCAAATATTTCTAACGTTTCGCTTTTAACGCGAATTTCTGAATTTTAAAAAGCAAATTGTACTTCCGCTTGTGCCTCTTTCGACTTTCCATTCGTAAGTTTAGCAGGCAATTAAATGCGGTTTGGTATATATTTTCACGAAATATTATGTAATCACTCAGTGAGATAATTCCTTTTTTTTTTTTTTTTTTTAATTTACACAGCGTACACAGTAAATACGGGAAAAGAATATTATGTGCCAGACAATTGCAACGCAGATACCTTAAGAAATGAATATTTAAAAGAAAGAAAGAAAGAAAAATATTTGTACACATATGTAAGAGATCGATACAAAAACGGTAAATGTGTTACATAAATAATAATACTTGACGGCAAAATATCAAAGGAATAAAAACAAGAAATTAGCATAAATTATTTTTGAATATTAATTTCGGTCTTTTAAAAAACTTTAAACGTTTAACGCTTAACGATAGTTAAGATTAAATAATAGAAATCTAAACCTTAACAGTTTTGAAAGTTTACCATTATTTTAACCGTTTGAATTTTATTTTACACCTATTACAATGTATCTACATTTACTTTATTATCATTAACGCAAGATTTAGGTCAACTTTTGCTCTATCTATCTATCTGTCCGTCCATTTAATCTTTTATGGTTACTACTACTACTACTACTACTACTACTACTACTACTACTACTAATTTAACTTGCCTACTCAACAATATCAGATATCCTAAACAGTATATTTTATATTCTTAAGTCAAGGTGAAATTTTGTATCGCATTTTCATTATAAATGCGTTGGCCATCCATTCATTGCATTTTGAAAGGGATAAGTGAACTAACTAAACTATTTGGAATTGATGATTGTGAAATGCATAGCGTATTATTTGCTTACCTTATGCACTTATGCGGGAAGTGTGTATCGTTATGGATACTGCTGTATATTTCAATACCAAATCCCCTAACAAACAAAAGAGAAGTGCCCTACAATCTATAGAAGACCTTTACAAAAAAAATGCGAATGGGCCCATATGTTGTAATTAATCTGACATATAATGAGAGACGAAAATGATAAAGATCTCTTAAGTGCATCTAAATTTCAATAAATATCGCTTGGAGAAAGTCGCCGGCCTAATTAGCCGTTTCATCCAAACGCATTTATAATGCCGCATAATATTCACGATTGATCGTTTGTCCATTTTCAAGCTAGTCGATGAGTATTACACTATGCCCATCTCAAATTGAAGACATCATAATCTTCCCAGTAGACTTTTGTATTTTTGGTCGCTTTAGACGGCTTTGATTCGTTGCGGATCAATTCACTTCTTGACTTGATCGCTTTGACTCTGGAGTATAGTGATGATCGCATGCCTCAAGCAATGCCTCATATGACGTGAAACGATCCCTTCTATTTTGATTAAATGACTTACTTCAACACGCTGTGTTGCTTAACTAAAAGTAAGTAAACGCGGCCTTCACTACAAAGGGACCTGTATCGTGGATAAATGCGCGAGCAGGCTGGTGGATAGGATGCTTTTTGATATCTTTAGGTTGTCAACTATCTCGCGCAATTACATTTTTCGATCTTCCAAAACGATTTTTCTTTTTTTTTTTTTGCATTTTTCTTATGTGATTTGGAATAATTAACTAATTCTAACAACCAGAGAGTTTAGCAGCATTAATATCCATTCGATTTTATTGAAAATTAGCTCATCGCTTAGAAATCAGTTTTTTTTTTTGACAATAAAGAGCCGCCATAACATCTCTTAATGCAATGCCGATTATTAACGGTACTTTTTCTTATTAAAAACCAATGTTTAATCAACAAATTAAGTTTGGAGTTTTACATTATTTCAAAAATACAAACGACTTATTATGAGTGATTATGTGCGTTATATTTATTTGATGGATTGTTTTTATATCCTACGGATGCTAGAACCGTGTTTATTTACATTATGTAGACAAACTTTATTTTAATTGCGTTACCGTCGCGTCGTGTTAAGCTAGCTAAGTTAATATTTGGAAGATTGCTATGGGACTTGCAATACAATATTCCGTTGACATAAAGATCTCACTTATTTACGCTCTTATGCATATTTTAAGAACAAAGTACTTTGCAGCGAAATCTGAAGAAAGGGAAATTTCTGCGTAAATTTCACTTCAGTATATTACGTCACACAAAAACCTTTCATAAAATTTCTATATCAATTTCTAACATATTTTTTTTTTTTTTTTTTTTTTTGAATTATTATTTAAATTAATTGAATTATTTTATTTACATTGAATTTCTTACATCGAAGCCTTTTTCTACCCGCCGGCCCAAACTTGTAAATTGTTACGAAAACAAACAATGAAAAGTAATTTTGATAATCAAACGATTTCTCTAAGCTATGATTAGTGTAAGCGAAATATTTTTTTTTATTTTTTTCCAAATCGCCTATATTGCACTACGTTGATGCTCAGATTTATTTATGAGGAACATTTTTCAATTTGAAGATACTTAATAAAATTAGCTGTAGAACGATTTAACGATTTTACTAAAAGATTTAGTTAAATAAATGAAATATTTTCCAATGTGACGTTTAATCTTGGCAAGTTTGTTTCACACAAAAAAAAAAGAAAAGAAAACGAGACGAAACGGTCAAAAGTAACATAATAAAATGCACTAAAATTCGCGATGATGGGATCATACATTCAATGAACCAATTAGCTATAAGTTAAGGGAGGAAGTCACTGTAGAGAAAAAAGTGTATTTTTGACCTTTTCTTTGGATGCAAGAAACGATAATGGAATGACAATAATATGTGAGGAGCCTTTTATTACAAAAAAAAAAAAAAAAAAAAAAAACGAAAAGTAGTTTTAAAAAATATTAAAAAATATCAGCACCGAAGGCGGTCTCGTAAGATATGTTGAGGCAGAAGTGATTTTAAGAGATTTGTTCGTATGATGTTCGATCAAAAAAAAAAAACCTTTCGTTAATTATTTATTATTTAAATTAACTTATCGAAGATCAATTCCATATTTCCTTAGCATGCGTTATTTTGTAAAAAATTTGCATGAAAATAATGAAAAATTGTGGGTTGAGCCTGCAAGTCATTTAGGGAAATGCCTTCAAAACTTACTTGAAACGCGTTAAAGACACTTTGTTGACACGTTATTGAAACGAATTTTTTATTATTTTCTTCTGCTAGTCTATGATCGTAGGACCATGAAGCTGGCCTTTCATTTTCAAATATTCTTTCCATTCTCTTACCTCGAATATTTTATGCTAAAGAGCGCTTCTTTTTCCACACCTATCGAAAGCAAAGTCCCCAGTTATTTTTTCTTTCTTTACGTGTTGCAAAATGACAAAAAAATGGGAGAAACTATATATGCATATATAGCTCTAGCGTCTGACTTTCCGAAACACTGAAAACTTTTAAATTGCTTTCAGTTTCCTATCTATCCAACTATCGTCGGGCCATCGATAGGGCCACGTTGAAGCTACCTATACTTGGAAATACTTTAAAATTAATCTACTTGCTTTCTAAAGACTCATCTCACGGACAAGGCAAGTTTGAAATCGATGAAGAATATTTTAGGTTGTGATTTTCTAGCAGCTCTTTAAACATATCTGAACGATTGGAAAGAAACCCCAAATTTTAAGGAATAAATTTCTATTAGATAAAAAAGATGAGAAAGAATTTTTTTTTACATATTTTAGAAGATTTGAAGCATTTATTAAGCCGATAAAATAACAATTTTTTTACCTGGAAAATATACAGTGGGTTTCCCTCTAAAACATTGACTTGGACATTTTTTAGACATAGATCTCACTATAACTCGTAGTAGAATTAATTGCATTCTATAGAACTATAATGAAGATCATTAAGAGAATTAAATTGCGTTTCAGGCGAAACAACAATAACCGCAACCGTAAGAATCTTCAAGCGTACCTTTAGGTCCCACTACCTCTAACAAATACAACCGATTGGCTAATTAGACGCAATTGCCATACGGAATATTTGTATCACATTCCAAATCAATAGCTCTTCTAGACTACAAGCTTATAAAATTTTTTCTGTTGTTCGGTAGGTTACTTACATCCATTGCTGTAGTGACGTTCTAAGTGCTCTTGCTGCACCAAGTTCCAAATCAATACTTGTTACGAACTGTAAACACTGCGGTTTGAAACGATTTCGAGTAATATTTGCTTCAAGTTTTTTGAACTAATGTCTCACATATATACAAGCTGAGAGTTACAGTTTTCGTGATTTTGAACGAATGACTGCTATGGTCATCATTATCGTGAATATGCCAAGTTTAAGTTTTCTATGTTCTCTTTTCCAACTGCGAACATTGCAATAACAGATAGCGAACAGATATGTAAAGTTAAACCGACTGAGAAAATTTCGACGCTCAAAAGTCGGCATACTTCACGGGCTTACCTTTGTCCTTGGCTTAAGAAAACAAAAACAAAAAACCATTGGCTATGTATCTGATGAGATTAAATATTAAAAATTTCGCATCAGAGTCTTAGTACATATTGGACTACGGCTATAATTACTTATAATTATTATAATTTTTTTTTTTTTTTTTTTTTTTGCGTATCTGTATATATTTGTATGCGAACAAAGTATACAAATTAGTTTAAAATTGCTTGTAAGTTACATTTTTTCTATTTTACAGACTGAGCTGCGCACCTGCGCAGCGTGTGGGGAGCCGATCTCGGATAGATTCTATCTCGAAGTTGGTGGTTGTTCATGGCATATTAATTGTCTTCGATGTTGTATGTGTATGTGCCCCTTAGATCGTCAACAATCATGTTTTATACGGGAACGGAAGGTCTATTGTAAAGTAGATTACAGCAAGTAAGTGTTAAAGAAAGTTACTTCCAATACGTTTTATTTCATTACCGACTTGTTCAGTATTTACTTAAGCTTCCTTATTATTACGACCGCAAGAATACGTATTAAGAAAGTAACAACGAAGGCAATTATATTTGCCTATGATCAAGTCATTTATACCCATCATCCTTAGCCTAAAAAAAGGTTTAAATAAAACATAACCAAGAAAATTATATTCGGCTGTGACCGAATCTTTTAGTCTATTAGTCATTGTTATCCTAAACGAGACCAAGAAGATGAAAACACGAAATTTTCAAACTCAATATTATTAGATGTGTTTGGTTGATTTGTTCATTTGTTGTAAAATAAAAGTGGACATTTTTATCGTCAGGCAAAGTTGTTCTCCATTTATGTTGCATTGTAGCCGTTTTCCTTGACTGCTTTGAAGCATTAAATTTAAACTCTTTTTTGGCAAATTTGAAAGCGATATCTTCATTGCTGCAACGGATGTTTATTGCAAATATTACACACTTAACTACCTGGGTAGCCGAGTACCTAAAAATATCCCGACTACGAAATCAGTGTTCGCGGATGCAAATCCCAAGTTTGGTTGAGTTTTATTTCTGCGCGTAACTGTACTGGATGCTCAGTCGATAAAGCCATAACACGATTCGATTGGTCATACACCCACTAGGATGCAGCCACTATCTCCATATTCCTTTTTTTTCTTTGCTTTCTTCTTTCTGAAAGTCACTGTCACAGTTACACGAATAGCAGGCATCCTCTGAATAATTAATTATATTAAAAATTGAGAAAAAAAAAAAGAAAATAGCCATATGGACATGTCTCAATCGATTGACGTTCTGGTTGTGTGCAAATCTTTCGACAAAATAAATATACTCCCATCGTTCGGTGATAGCTATAAAAACATTATAGTCACCGGTGCCTGAGTAATAAGCACCCCGCACCACTTCACCTAATATAATTCTTCATTTATTTGCATGAGGAAATATGTAAAATTATAACCTTTTTTCAATGTGAAGGCATACTTTTGGCTTTTTATCGAAGCGAACCCAAACATGAAATCACATGAACCGAATGAAACTGAACAAAATTAATTTTCTTTTCAAAGATATTACTATTCTTCACCCATTTCTGGCATAAGGCATTACAAAGTAGGTAGGTGCGCCTACCTTTTGCGGGCTAGCTATTCTTGAGAATTCTTGTATGGAGTGTAGTTCAATTTTGGCCCAACTAATTTCTATATAAAATTAGCATTATCGATCGGTACTCACTATCAATTATTAAAAGTTAAACCATTTTCTCAACTAAAGATTTATTTATATATTAGAAGCGATTATGTGGTAGGGGCTCCAAATAGTTGATCCATCGGATACGAATTTTTCGGCAGCGTTTTTTGCCGAGATACTTTGAAAACTTCATATAATGATATTTTCAAGACAAGTCTTCCTATTAGGAGTGGTCCGTTTCAATTCATTTTCAATAGAATTGAATATATATATATATATATATATATATATATATATTTTGCTCTTTATTCCGAATATGTGAGGGGGCAACAATTAGAATTTTTTTTTTGCGCCGAATTTTTTGGTTGGTCCTTGGAAGTACTTACGCCGGGTTTTAAGATAACACTTCTAGTGAATCGTTAAAATGCTTTACTTGTTGCATGTGCTGTTACGAGCGTATCACGTTTATTATCACAAACTTGATTTGATAAGAATTTTTATATTTGCCAAGTTGAAACTTACTGTGTTGATTTGCGCGAGGATGAACTTTCATGCAGCAAACGTCAAACAAACAAGTGAGCACAAATGAATAAGCTAATGCCGGTCTTTGCACAATTTTGTTGTTGTTTCTAAAGCGCGCATATTACTGTGTTACGAATGGAGGAACTGTCCATTCAGGTAATAGTTACTATGTTTATTATTTGGTACTGTTAGGGGTGGTGACAACTTACACCTACACATACATGTAGTTGGCTATCTGTCGTTGATTTACGACCTGCCTAAAAATTAGAGAGGAGTTGCGAATTTTAAGCAAACCGACTTGGATTAAATAAAATTTTAACGGCAAATAAGTGAATCACGTGAACACCTATTCTTGCAAATACGAAAGAGTTGGAAAAAACTTTATCTTACGACTTACACTGCAAACAAAATGTTTCAAAATTGGGCAGACAGAAGTCATGTGATATATTAATTAAATTACATTCAAAAAATAAATAATTAGCAGTGCGCTGTCTACTGTAATTTTTCAAGATATTGCCCGGTGACCTCTATGAGCAATATATTGATTTGACTTTATTTTTGCATTTTGACTCATAATGTTAAAAAAAAAGGTCAACATTTTCTTAAAGTCTCTTACACCAATTTCGAAATTACAGTCAAGAAAAAAGATTTCCTTTTTCGGATTTGTAATGTGCGGCCTTCCTTTATTTCGAATATTTATTTTTATATCGCAATAGTATCGGAGAGTATTCCATCAGAAAGATTGAAACTATTGTGAGTAATGTCAATAAATTGAATGGAAAACGTAAATGTAGTTCTGGGACTTTTTAAGCTATTCAAAGCAATTTTTAAGACTCGTAGTGTGATTACTTATTGGTTTTCTTTTCCTTGCACGATTTGCATGGTGTCGATAGGGAACAACAAATCTTTCATTTACTATTCATCTTTCAGTGCAAAGTTTAATATTCAATAACTTCAGCTTCGATCTTGATCAGCCGTAACGTGAGTGCATCAATGAGGAAGTGAAAGTCATTTAATAACCCATCAATGAAATTCTTTATATCGGAATCATGAGTAGCTTCTCGAAAAATTACCAAAAAGGTGAGCAAAACTCTTTCTATGCCCTACACCAGTTGCTGTACAGGACATGTTACGTTTGTGCGAGTGCGTACAACACTCAGAAGAGCTTAAAATAGATTCACTCACCTTTTGTTATATCGAAGCTTGTCTGTCCGCCGGTCCGTCTGATATTTTTCCATTCATTTTTGTATTCAATCTACAGCTCTACACCAATTTTTGAGATAATTCGATGAAATTTGGTGCACGAAAAATAGCTGAGCAATCGTAATTCGTAATTCTAAGTCGATATGAAAAATATGGATCGGCTGGGGTAATTTTTTGAACAACCCATCATATAACCGTTCTTACGCAAACTGAATCTTTATATAGCGAAAAAAACTTATTCTCAATATGTCTTGGTCCGTCCATTATAATGGTTTGACATAAAAATAACTTTATAATTTAGACCAAATGGGTTCATTTTTTTCAAATTCCACCCTATGTAAGCGTTGTAATGTAACATAAGCCATATGTAACATATGCCAAAAATGTTCAATTTTTCATATTTTCACAATGAAAATTGGTTTTATGTAAAACTTAACTACATCAAATTTTGATCAAATAGCTCTAAGTCTATTTTTTGGAAATCAACGCTTACAAGCTTACAAGCATTCCTATAGTGAATGAGTTTTTTTGTATGGCAAAAAGGTCTAATTTTTTAAATATTTTTAAGAAAAATGCACCATAGTAGCAATGTAGTCTAAAAATTAATTTATTTCAATTGTATCTATAGGAGGGGCTCTCATGAAAAGTAAACCCTTCTATGGCGACAAAATCTAATTTGAAGATTTTTATGACAGACTTAGTTGACATTCTGAGCGCCCTCTAATATTAGGATCTCTATGGAAAATGTGCATTTCTATGAAAATAATGTATAACCACGTCATTGAATGAATGAACGCGTTAAGCGAAGCGAAGTACTAGTAGTGTAGTGTATTTGTTTTACATTTATCTCTTCGGAAACAGATCGAATGAAATCTTTTCACTGGGGTCAATCTTGTATATTTTTAGATTTGTTAGCGCTACAATGAGTGCGCTGGAATGCTTAACTCTTATTTTAAATAGGTCTCAACACTTTTCATTAATTGAAGAAATGTGATCCTCTATGGTATCCTCTAATGTGGATATATATGTTATCAGTTGTTGCAATATTTCTTTACTTGGTTCCATAACATTCGTCAAGTGTGGTAGTTCTCGAAGAATGAAAGCCATTACAAAAATTCGAATAAATAAATTATTGCAATTTTTGTACAACACTAATTGTTAACATCAACATATATTCTGTACTTAGAATTAACATTTTGAGCAGGAGCTCTATATAAGCGCAACTTCCCAATAATTAAACTTCTAATGTTAAATGATTCTTGTAGGTCCGCTAACAATTTTGCAGGCAATAAAAAAATATTTTAAATAGCGCCGACACATATGCAAGGTTCTTCAAAATGTTTTCTAGCGAATTTAGTTATCGTCCTTGTTTTTTTTTTTTTTTTTTATTTAAATAATTCTGAACTCAAAAAAGCAGTCAAGTTGTCTTCTCAAAAAATCGTAGTGAATTAAAAATTTTTTAAGACTTTGCAAAAAGGATTTTTGATTGGATTTATATATGTCCATCTCTTTATTGTAAATGGGCCAATAAGCTTAGTGAGTCTTTCTAATAAGCTCTAAAACCGAAACGAACAGAATCTGAACTCAAAGCTCTTGTCTTCAATTTCTGTAAATTTATTCTGTAAATCTTTACAGCGCACCGTAGTTAAACTTATATAATACATACACTTTACAATAAATACACTTTGTTTTTTTCATATCGTAATGAAATAAGTAGACTTGGATTGATCTTGTATTTGAATAATTTTCAAGATAATTTTTATCGGAATATTTTTCAATAGTAGGTTTTCAGTTGACTTTAGAACAGTGAGTTATACATATATATTTTTTTGCTTAGATATTGTATTCGTAAAATCGAGTATAAACGCGAACAATGGAAGCTTCTAAAAGCGTACTAATTGCAAAAAATTGTTAGAGAATTTCCTAAAAAAATCCTTTACATAAAAGAACTATTGGCTGCAGGTTGTTTTCCCTGATGACAATTTTTCTCATGTTCAAAGAGATGAAAGTGATGATGATAATGAATTGTCTCCAGGAATTTTATCTTATGAACGCCTACATGAGATGATACATGCCGTCAAGGCGGTTATCCACGATCTTGTCGACGACGGCCATATAGTGAAAGTTGTTCAAATTGTAGCATAGGTTTAACGTGGGTTCCTGCCATGATGGCTTAACCCCAAGGTGACCTAAGCCACTTTTAAGCGTAATATACGCCCCCTGGCGAATTAGACAATGCCCACAGAATAGGGGCCTAAGCAGCACCAGAGTCCAGAACAGTTTATTGCGTATGGATCAATAAACCCCACTCTGGTCAGTGGTGAGGCAGTGAAAGCTGTTCAATTGGATGCCGACACGCCAAGCGATGATGTTTTTAATCGAGTTCAGAAATATGCCTTAGCGAAAATCCACGATGTGGAAAACTGAAGCTGCAGCATTTTTCGCGCATGTGTCTCGTTACTTTCTTTCCCGAGCAAATGCCGTTTCCAAAGCAGAAAAATATCTCGATCATCGTGTCGATTATAAACGGGCTGTAGTCGAGCTTGACGAAATGGAATATTTCAAATTGAGAGTGGTCCTCTGCGAAGTTCGCAATCACTACTCTTCGCTATTAGACATTGTCACAAAGTATGTGGAAATGCGTACCTGCGATAACGGGCACGTTGAATAAAAAACCGATCACGTCGAACACGACACGTCGAGAATTGCTCATTTTATTTTTAAATAAATTCTTCATGATTGCAATTACATTTGAGTATATATTTTTTATATTCATTTAATATAAGGATAATTGAAACAAATCCGAAAAATTTGAAGGATTATTTATCCTTACAGGGTGTGGAACAGTTTGCTTTTTCTCTAAATGAATTACAGATGGAATGCGCCTATAATTGGTTGGCAAGTTGCTTACTTTGGTCGTTACATATAATAATAAACATATATACATGTATACATATACACGTACATACGAGAAAGTAAAAAAAAGAAACTAACATAAGAAGTTAGAAGAAAAGTTACACAAGTATTTATCAAAGCACATTAGAATTTATTTTTAGTGTATTTATAGTGTATATAGTATACTTATACATTGTAATATATTTATATAGTATAGTGCGTCACAAATAATGTTTACGTACATGTACGTGTCTATGAATAATGGTATGCAGAAAAATATTAAATTTTAGGTGAATTTTAAATATTCGCAACTCGGGCAAGGCTTCCTCTGTGCTGTGTGCTTTCTTAAACTGCTCTGATCAATATTTATATTATTTTTCAAATCAACATCTCATACTCGTGTTTTATCGTCTTAGATCACATCAATATATATATATATATATATATAAGAACTTTTATAGTCTCATTTTGAATTTTGTGATTTAACAAACGTAGAACAACTAAACGAACGCCGCGACGCGACCTTTCGAGTCTTCCAGCACAACTATCAAAATTTATTGATCTTGTTATTCGCTTATAAGATTCAAAAATCTTGGACGGCGGAAGTGTTTCTTTTCATATAACGTTCTTCATTTCACTTATCTGTCGTCTTTTGTTGAAGTTTTCCCCTAGAAACTACGAACTAACGTTTACATCTTTAATTGACAGCCACATCAGATGAAATCTAATCATAGACGGTCACTTCACATTCATTTTCAAACTTACCATGCGGACGTTATCTAAGCAGGAATAAGCAACACTTGTGTTTTACTATTTAGCAACTAAAGAGAGAGCCAGACATAGATACAGCGACTTAGCTTTGCGTTGATCAGATATATATGCGGCACCGCTGATGTGTATTTCTCGGTTGTCTCATCTCTTGTGACAGTGGACAGACTAAGAGCAGATAACAGCCCAGCATACCATAGAATTGACAAACATAGACAGACAAACAAATATGGCCAAATCATTTGATGATTTCTGTGATGGCAATTCGAAAAGCGAAAATATAAAACCTTAAATGTTCAGCTATTGATCTCAAATTTGGTAAAAAAAATATCTGCGGGAACAGTCGCGATCAGCCCGATAGGACGCTTATAGATAATTGGAAGAAAGCCTTGGATGGGTTTCAAAGCTAATGGCACCTTTCGTTACCTTATTAACTTCTAACTACGCATAACCTCTAACTGCTTAACTTGTTCCGCTCTTTTGCTGAGAGCACTGCCTTGCACGACTCGTGAGTATAATACCTTCCAGACTGTAGTTGAAGAAATCCAACTTCGATGTACAATGATTTGAACTTGAATAGATAGATATTTACTTATCTAACCTTTGTCGAGACTGCCTGCAATGTCTTGATTTCTTTCAAAATTTTCCACAATCTATATAAAAACCATTTGCGTATACGACTCGGGATGTACTATCGATAGCATTAAATACTTCTGCACTATTATTCTATGAAGCGGAATATGTCGGCTTACCTCAAAGCGATTAAAGTATTATTTAAGATGGAAGACGAGTGCAGATTATTCAGAATTTCTTTTTCTTTTTTTAATGACGTCATAAATACTTTCAATAGTGTAGATTGAATGAATTGAAAACAGTTTATTATCTGAAAAAAAAAAAAAAACGTATTCCCTGAAATGCTAGGCATTTCCTTAAAGCGCTGTGAAAAGACTGCTCGAGTCAAGGGGATCCCTGATGGGATTTTAGATCCTAATGTTCCACCTATCGAGTTCGAATTTTCGAACATATTAACAGATGACTTTAGAAAGTTTTTAGTTTCATTTCAAAGCATTCCCAAATAAAAATATGTTCAAAATATTGATTCACAGAGATGACTGATGAGTAGATATGAAAGTAGGAGAGCGATTTGAAAGAAGTCATTGTTTCAACCAAGAAATTACAAATGTGTAACGAAGCTTTTAACATTAATTCTGAACGTGGCTAACCTTTCTTGTTGTTAAAACGTGAGATTCTATCGTCGATAGATGCAACAAAGGGAGCTCCCCTTTGAGTATAAAATCTTCGAGGGAAGAGAATGAGGGCGAATATATGAAGATGCAAGAACAATTTTAATATTCTTTTCTTTAGTATAATTTATTACAACAAGAATGCATGTCTCTAACACATCACATATCAGCCAAACTCCAGCAGCCGTTAAAAATTTTGCAGTATCTTTGAAATAATAATAATCTTTAGAGAAATACTTTAGGCATTTTCGATAAATTAATTTTTATTTTTTTTTAATAAAAGAGCTTTTTGGTCAAAAAATTAACGTTTTCTCAGTCATTTATTCCCCAATTAGATAAATGTTTATACAACGTTGTTTGCCTAGAAGCATGTAGAATAAATGATTTTTTTTTTTTTTTGTTGTTTTTAGATTCAAATTCGCAGCAGGGGTAACTGCTTAAATTGAAGGTGCTCCCGAGACACCTACAATATCTAATTGTTTTCAAAAATTGCATTTTTCAACGCTTAAATCTGCGCATCATAATCGTGTTGTCTATTATTCTTTTATTGCTTTTCCTTCCATCCTAAAAAAAGTTGCGAAAAGTATGCCTTTTTTTATTTATTCTTAAATATTACAGTGGCTTCCCCTTAAAGCGCTTATACAAATATATAACTTAAGCCATGAATACATATATGCTCGGGTCGGATGTATATGCATATGTGTGTATGTGCTTATATGCGAATATAAAATAAACATTAGTTATAAAATCAACAATGTCATAAATCTGAGCAATCGTGCTCTATGTATCCGTATGCTGAGTATCTAAAGGGTGTAGATGTTGTTACACTTTAATAAATTCTCTAATATTCTCTAATGACGACCAGTCATAAATTCAAAGTGTAGAGGTAACGTTGTCCTCATCAATGATCGAACAAAAGATTAAGAAATTTGTTTGTTTTCCTTTTAACGGCTATAGAATAGCATTTGGAAATTGAATGAAAAAAAAAAAAAAAAAAAAAAAAAAAAACGAACTCAGCTATATAGATCTGTGTGCTCGTGTATAAGAAAGAGTAGCATATAAAAGTTTTCAAAAATATTTACTTTTCTACTTAGAAATTGTAAATTCAACAAAAATTAGACCGTTTTAGTATAAATAATTTTTCAAGTTTTACTTACATAAATGAACTCATTATGAATACTTCAGTTATATTATATGATAAAAAACAGTTGATGAAGCCCGATAGATATCTATTCTTATGTGGGCGAATATAGCGAATATATGATATACATGTTTTTTTTTTTTTTTTTAAAGACTTCCGGCATCAAACACTATGTTTGACAACAAGCGGAACCTTTGTTACTTTATATAACAAACAACACACAATATGCATATATGTCATCATGCATGTGTGTGCTTAGTCAATATTGTCAATATTAAAATTTATTTGCATATATATGACATATTCTTTTTCTTTTCGGAACTACTACATACATACATTCATTTATTCACTTGCGCACGTTAATTACAAAATATTTTACTTTTTCTATTTATTTAATTATTTTTAGGAGTTTTGGGGCGAAATGTTCGAAATGTTGTCGAGGAATTTCAGCCTCTGATTGGGTACGTCGTGCTCGTGACTTGGTTTTTCATTTAGCTTGTTTTGCTTGCGATCAGTGCGGACGTCAATTATCAACCGGCGAACAATTTGCGCTTATGGAAGACAGGGTCTTATGTAAAGCGCATTATTTGGAAACCGTAGAAGGAGGCACAACATCGAGCGATGGTAGGTGATAAACTAAGAAACTCTATTCTATATATTTATATATATTACCAACGAATATTGAGGATTTTATTAAATTTCTACAACTACTCTCGTACCGATATAATAAGATTAACGCATTCTCTTGAAGAAGCTACAATTTTGGACCGGTATAAATGAACGTGGAAAGTTAAAAAACAATTTAAAATAGAAATAAATTTAATTTTATCATTCCGTATATGCACAAGAGATCCCATTATTTATGTAAATCAGGGGTAGTTTCTAAATTTTTTCTATGCGCTCTACTCTTGTTGGATTTTTGATGAATGTAATCGAAAAATAAGTCTTTAAATAGCTAATGGAACAATAATTAAATTAAACAGTTAAATAGATAAACGAATAAATAAATAAATAAATAAAATAAAAAATAATTACATAAAGGAGAAGATTGTCCTCATATTTTAGTAAATTTTTGTCCATTTAAGAGCCCGCAAAAGCTCGCCTCCTTTTATGTGACTTCAAACTTCTAACACTTGCAAGCAAAATAAGATTTAGGCAACAACAAAAAAAAAATTGAGCTCAATGCTTGCAGGCATGCATTCATACCGTTTTAATATTCTGATCAGATTTCCTTAGCTGTTCTGACAGCATAAAGCTACAAAAGATGGGCCTTTAACGTAATATTCTAAACTAAGTCCACGGAATTTAAAGTTTTACGTCGGTAAGTGAGATGGAAGAAAGTTAACAAAGACATCGAATATAATTCTTAGATGCTTTAAAACAAATATTAGACATTTGCGATTTTCTTCTTAACTTTGCCCGTCTCAGTGCCCGGCAATTCATAAGCTCTTAATAAGCATTAATTTGAAATTTTATTTATAAACTAGTTTAAGCTTTCTCTAACCATTTTGGGCGAGTTTAATAAGTGAGTTGCGTTGCTGTTTTTCTATTTGACAGATTGCGTATAAATACAGAACTTTGTTACAAATTTCATGATTTGTGAATACTCACTCTAAGAACAATGAGATGAGTGTATGAGAGCATGAGTATATATTTTAAAGGAGTGTATAACCGCCATAAATGGAATAAAAGAGATTTTCCTTTTTTTTGTTTGTATTGTGTAATCGCTCGATCGTTCGTAACGTGTGATACAAATCAACATAGTAGTATTTATTCGTAGCTCAGACGTTTTTCATTTATAATCGATTTTTGTATACATATAGCGACAAAATTCCATAAATACTATTTAAAACTATTTTTTTAGTTTTTTTTGTTTTTTTTTGACTGGTCGTCACAATGGTGACGTTGGATCATATCCTATAATATATTGAAAATATGAAAGAATTTTTTTTTTTTTTTTTTTTTTTTTTTTTAGCTCATTGCAATTAGTTCATACATAAGTGTACATACCTATGTAAGAGGTACACGAAATTCGGTATGTGTTGAAAAAATATATTTTTTTTTTTTGGTTTTTCATATAAATTCATACATAAAATCGGCCGTATGTGCTTGTAAATGTTTTTGCGGGTACGCAGAGAGGATAAGAGTGAGTGAAAGAAATAAAGAGAAAGAGATAGGGGGAGAGAGAAAGAAACAAAGAGACAGAGAGAGAGAGAGAGAGAGAGAGAGAGTAAGAGTTTCTGTTTTGTCCCTTGTTACCCATCCGTCCTGTGACGAATTGTATGCGAATGATATGGAACACCGTTGCAGTATACTCTTAAACATTAAAATATGATGTATCCATCTCATGCATATCTACGTATAAGTATTCCAACCACGTACAAATAGACGTCACAGCCTGACAAAAACCATGTCATACACAACAGAAGTGTACCCACAACGCTACACGCGCAAAGGCAAATGTTGACGCCGTCCAGTCACTGAGCCAACAAGTTGGCAAGTGATGTATACATATATGTACATACATGAACGTGACTTACCAGTGAACATAGCACAAGTCATAAAATGTGTAATTGTCCCAATGTAAAAGCGCGACTTCCCACCTGAATGGCACTTTTGTATAAATTCCATTTAAGACTACCATCACATACGGCTGCTGTTGATGGGATTTTTGTTTTTCCTTTTTTTAAATACTTTTGCCATGCTTTCGGGTTTCTATGTAGTCTAAGTCACATTCAATTGCTGACAATCATTAACACAAACGCCCAATAAAATATGCGCACATGAACATATTGCATAAATACTTACATAAATGCGTTAATGTCTGCAAATGCATAATGTATCGCAAAAAAAGCAAAAAAAAAAAAAACAAAGAATTGTTCAAGGTCTTCCTTCTATCATAAAAAAAAAAAGAAAAAATAAATAAATAAAAATGTATTTTAACATATTCCGCTTTAACATTTTAAGCGACAGTAAGTTTAATCAAATCAAGTCCTACACAACGGAAGAAATCAAAAATTTTTTAATTAAATTTAGAGTCCGCTTTACGAGCAATGTTGTTTATTCAAAAAAGAACGCTTTCTGAATCGAGCGTCTCTACCAGTCATCCACCAGACATTTTCGAGTTCGAAACTCATATCTAGATAAAAGCAATCGTTCACTTTACATCGACGTAGTCGCACGGCATTATAATCAATTTTTTCTTTTTTTTTCATAACTTTCCTTCCGAGGCAAGCTAAAAACACTTTCATATTAATTTCATCATAGTAGAACGTAACCAATTTCCGAATAAATAAAAATAAATTATGTGAATTTAAACATAAAATATAATTATATTTAAGAATTCATACCAGAAAATTACTTTCTTAGGATTGAGTCAAAAAAGGAGAATCTTGTCAAAAGACTTGCAACAACAATGAGTTAAATATTTTTTAAAGGGGAAGAGGTTCAGTTCCTGAAAATAGCATGTAATCACCAAATTCCGACAATATCTAAGATTTAAGAACGTAATGTGACGATGATCCAATGCAAATTTTTTTAAAAAATCTAAAAAAAAAAACTGGCAAACATTGTGGCTAGAGTATGTACTCATGGGATTTTAAGATTTCTCATCTTTGCCAAAATTCGGCTTAGCATAGTTCCGCGTCTTATCATGAAGTAGCCGAACAATTAAATCAATCAACTCAGTTAATCAATTCTAAAGATCGACGAGTGGATATCGTCCGTAGTAAAATCATCAAAATATCATTTTTAAATAGTGCCAACAATCAAACGACGCTTAGGAAAATTTCATTTCATTGCGATCATGCGCTTACGAAATACATCGGTCTTAGTGACGCTACTTTGGTTATGCTCAAGGCAAGGGAAATATCCAAATATCGTGTATTGATTAAGCAATATTTTTTTTGATAGGAAAGTATACCGCTGTGTACCGCTCGACACAGGGTAAGATTTCCGCTCGAAAACAATAATTTGTCGGTGGCTTGCTTAACTTAAAAGGACCGTTAGGCATAGCGATGATGCTGATCGTGGCTGCGCAAGGTTACAATCGAAAAAATTCAAAGATTTCTGAAAATAATTCTCGATTATATAATCTGTTTACAAATGTTAAAAGCATGCTCTAAGAAGAAAATTTGAGATGAAATGATGAGATCCGTGTGAAAGTTGAAGCATATTTTTTGTGGGTCTTGGCAAATCGTTCTTTAAAGAAAGATTTCGGTTCGATACTGTACAGAACCATTGCACTTGGTTTATATCATAAAGTTGAATTTTACAAAAAAAAAAAAAAAAAAAAAAAAACTTTTTCTGAGTAATCGATCGACTCATTAAAATGAAGCAAACAATTTGAAAAATTCAATAAAAGCAAAGAATATGCACAAGGAAAACAAACTATTATGTGCATAAACCCAAAAAGAAAAATTCTTTTCGTTAAATAATCAGCAAAAACTCCATAGTAGGCCATGGCCTACCCTATACTACCGTAAAGACATGATCTCGAACGATCGAAAAAGTGGTCCGTCCTGAATCATTTTCAATAGCGTTTGTCCTTGAAGCAAGGCATCTGAGCGTGACAAATTTCATCAAAATATCGCAAAAGTTTGGACTATCGATCGCTTCAAGACAAGAGTGCAAGTCGAATGGACAGACGGACCAATAGACAGATAGGCAGAGAGACAAGCTTTGATCGAATCAGAAAATGATTCTGTCTAGTCTACTTTAACCCCTTTTGTGTGTTTAACATATACGCACAAACATAATATTAAGATAAAAATAAAACGATTAAAAAAATACATTTTCCGCATTTCGCGTTTATTAAAATCAAATGAAAACAAATATGTTTTGCATAACTTGTTTTTTATGTTTTAATTTATATGACGTTTCGCACTTAGTTCTCGTAGGCATGTCATCTTATAATTATATCGAGGCGATTGTTAAAGAGAATAAATCGGCATTGTCGTAGCTATCGGTTATCGGCCTAGTTAACGTAAAATGACGGTTTATAGCCAGCGGCATTCTATTGTCCAAGTCCCTTCGATTTGATATCCCCCCCCACCCCCATCAAAGGGATTGTTGATGCGCTTTTTTGTGACAGACATACACAAACCGAAAAATTGATGATAATATGAGTTTCTTTTTCCACACAAAAATAGGTTAAATAAAAAATTCCGTTATTAGTGGTATGCGAAAAATACGCCTTAAAAATAGCCTTGAAAACTATAAGAATTTTGGATATTTACCGCAATTCTAACACATTTTAATGAAAGGTTTATTTTTTTTTTCAAGTCCACAATCAAAGTTCGTCGAGTTGCGATTACGTGAATGCAACAAATGATATCAAAACACGACCTTTTAAACTTACTTTACTTTTAAACAGTAAGCAACCTATAAAATTACTTGCAATTTTATGTTTTTTTTCTTTTTTTTTTTTCTATTTCTGCATTACGTGGCTTTAGACGGCTGTGATGGCGATGGTTATCATAAAAGTAAAACGAAACGCGTTCGTACAACTTTTACGGAGGAGCAATTACAAGTGTTACAAGCCAATTTTCAAATTGACAGTAATCCGGATGGTCAAGACTTAGAGCGTATTGCTTCCGTAACAGGACTCAGTAAACGTGTAACGCAAGTTTGGTTTCAAAACTCTCGAGCACGACAGAAAAAACATATACACGCTGGTAAGAATAAAAGTAAGTAATAAATTGTAGTGTAGAAGTAGATCGTAGAACATCTGGATATATGTTTGTATGGTTCCGTTAAATCTTCAGAATCTGAGAACTTGGCTGTTAGCCTCTAATTACTGACTTTTCAAATTTTATGATGGCATCCGCATCAATAATAATTACCGCGATATCTAGATAAAGATAAATCTGTATCCAAAAATCATATCAAATATTATATCAACCAATTGATATGTAAATGTATTTAAATTTAAGCCAACCTGCCAAGACTGCGTTTTAGGAATTTCGGGCAAGTACTGATATCTGTGTGAATGTTTGTACTGAGTTTAGTTTCTAGTTTTTGAAAAAGTTAAGGAACATTGTCGCATTGAATATACGGATTTTTGTTACTTCTTAACCGGCTACTGACGTTGAAACTAAAGGGCATTTTACATAAATAAACGCACATACATACGTACCATTTATTTTAATTATTCTACATATATATATATATATATATTATATGAAAATTGCTTAACTACAATAGTATATTAATGGTTATATATTAAAATGCGTTTAATTGTATATTTATACTATATATATATCTATATCTCTATACATATATATGAATATGTGTATATATATATTTATTTTTAATTATAGTCCGCGAACCTGAAGGAAGCTCTTTTGCCCGCCACATTAATTTACAATTAACGTATTCGTTCCAGAATAACGCTCAGAATGCCATGCAATTAAATGGCACTAAAACGACCCTGTACCCATCACATGGTAAGCTTTATTACATTACATATAGACAAACTAAATTCTTTAATAATTAGCAAATTGCGAACCTAATTAATACTAACCCACATTAATTAATTATTATATTTTAATATTTATTTTTAGAATCATCTATGGATGAATTGTCGCAAGACTCTAGTGTGCATTGTATGCAAAGTGAGGTGTGACTGAAAACTTTAAAACCCCATTAGGAGAAATTCATTCGCACGGTGCAACCAATAATTTTTATGATAATGCTAGAAATACAGAAATACGTCCTCATCCTAGTCAAAATTGTAAAATCGTCCATTTGAATATAAAAAAACAAAAACAAAAAAAAAAAAAACAAAAAAAAGAAAAGAAAAAACATTCAATTAATATAGAAATAATCGCAACATTTGTATGATAAAGTGAACTGCTCTTAACGTTAGCTTAAGTTGAACATTAACAACTTCCAGTGCAAAAAAAAAAAAAAAAAAAAAGAAAAAGGAAAACGAAAGATCAGTGAAAAGAGAAAATTAAAAAATGATCTAATTCGGTTTTATGTCGAATCCACCGATATATCCACCATCGTTACCTCTACATATATCACGATATCACAGTTTATAAGAAAAAGTAATAATAAAAAAAAAAACCAAAAAAAAAAAATTATATTAAAAAAAATATATTATGAGAAATTGTCTGATTTATAATTTTAAGATTTGATGAAAAATTTATTACGTATTTTTATACCGCGCACAATATTACCAGAAATTGGTTTAAGCCCTGATCTACATTCGAAATTTCATTTTATCCGACACTTTTATTAAATAGTAAAATAAATAAATATTTATTTTAAGCGATCGTGTTGACGAAAAACTGCATAATCAAACGAATGTGAATAACTTCTCAAGTTTGCATTGCTAAGAGTCCAAAGAATGTTGCGAGCATTTTTGCTTCTTGCAAGCAGCATAAGGAAATGGCAAAAGATATTTAGAAAATAGTTTTTTAGTTAGAAATTTAAAAAAAGTTTTCAAAACGTGCAGAAAAAATGGAGCATTTATTCATTTGTGAATAATTCCGCACCGTTAAAATCGAACAAAGTTCGATCGTAATATTAGTTTGGGGAAAAAGAAATCCATTATTTTTATATGAACTTCAGGACTCTATTTAACATGCTTCGGATTGTCCGATTTGGATCAAATATGCTCCGTTTTGTTGTACGATTTGTTGCCATTTTAAAGGTAACTTCAAAATGCCTCTCTCATAGAAGTCCTGGTCTCTATTTGCAAAAAACTCTAGTAATCGATTTTCACAATCCTCCCTAGATTCCAATTTTTTATCATTAAAGAAATTTTGCAATGCAAGAAAAAGATGATAATCGCTTGGTGCCAAGTCCGGACTGTATGGCGGATGCATTAAAACTTCCCAACCAAACTCCCGAAGTATCTGGCGAGTCACTATAGATGTGTGTAGCCTAGCGTGTTCCTGGTGGAACACGACACCTCTCCTGTTGGCCAATTCTGACCGTTTCTGGTCAATCGCTATCTTCAAACGGTCCAGTTGTTGACAGTAGAGATCAGAATTTAGCGTTTGGCCATATGAAAGCAACTCATAATAAATAATCCCCTTCCAGTCCCACCAAATGCATAGCAAAACCTTCCTGGCCGTTTGAGCTGCTTCACCGCTCTTTGACCACGATCGTTTTCGCACAGGGTTATCGTATGTGATCCATTTCTCATCTCCAGTCACCATTCGTTTAAGAAATGGGTCTATCTCATTCCGTTTGGCCAAGGCTTCGCAGATGGAAATTCGCTCCATCATCATGTTTTTTTCTGTTAATTGGTGTGGCACCCAAACATCGAGCTTCTTTTTGAATCCACCTCTGTGTAAATGGTTTAAAACTGTTTTATGGTCGATTTTTAGCTCCTAGGCGATGTTACGACTGCTAACATGCCGGTCAACTTCGATCATTTCTCCGATTTTATCGACATTTTCGACGACCGGCCTACCTGTGCGAGGTGCATCTTTAACATCAAATCTACGAAACCAAAATTGCACATAATTGGCTGTTACAGTATCGGAACCATAAACACCATTCACAATTTTACCCGCCTGGCTTACATTTTCGCCTTTGTCAAAGAAAAACTGTAAAATGTACCGAATTTTCTCTTTGTTCACTTCCATTTTTAACACGCTGTAACTCACAACTGAATGCACCAAACAAAAAACAGCAAAAGAATTTTTTTTACTGCGAAATGTCACCTTTCCAACGAGCATAAATCTGAAATTGTTTGATCGATACTTTAGGAGAAATCTATCAGTGCAGCCATCTACCGAAAAAATAATGGATTTCTTTTTCCCCAAACTAATATATGTAAGAACTCGAGGAACATATTTAATCAATGTTGAGATAAGGGTCCTTTGAATTTTTTTAATTTGATCGACATGACCGACATGATCGACATGATAGCAAGGACGATCACGCTCAAGATTTAGCTAACTTCGATAATCCTCCTAGCATTCCTTCTCACTTGAAACGTCATATCTTTTTCTTTATGTGAGCATCGCTTTTGAAATATTTGCCATTTGTGTTCGTTGCGAAGAGCTCAAGATATACCCTCTAAAAATATCGACAGTGGAATTTAACTTGCATTAGATATTCGATGCGCTATGCGCTATGCATATATCTAACGGACATGCGAGAGTGAAGATAACTTAGAATGATGTGGTTGTCGTTTCGATGTATGTTATTAAAACAGTAAACACAACTAAACACGATATTTACGGACAGTTCATCGATTGCAAAAAAAGTGTTTATAAAGGGCATAAAAGAGTGCAATCGTTTTTAAAAATTTGAAAAATTTCCAAACAAACGCCAAGTAGCTGTCAATTGCTTCGAACTACAGGAAATAACTCATACATGAAATATTGCCATACATTTGCTCGAATCGTATAGAAATTTGGGAAAAAGGCGTCAGAGCGATTTAGCATTATTACAGCCTTTATAGTTATACACAAAATATGTGATCTACTTTTGCGTTCATACAAATACGCACATACGCACAATTTTAATCTAATTTATTTATATGCGTATCTAAATATTGGAAAGTCGATCGAATTCTATAGCTATAGTTTCTTCTGGACACAATTGTAAATGTCGAAGCCGAGTATATTACAAACAATTCACTTTTCTTATAATCTACATCACCTACGGTAAGCAATATTGAGAACGACATGAGATATTATAGGCCCAACTTTTGGCATACCAATCGATTCGATATCGTTTTCTGAATTTAAGCTAAACGTCATTTTTGTATGTGTGAAAAAATAGACGCCATTTTTGTAAGTTTCTATTCAAATTGCTTTCTCTCAAACGGCATATCGAGCACTTCCCTATGTCCACAATTACTATAGAATGTTGTGCGATCAGTGCTTCAAAGTTTTTATATTGAAAGGTCTTGCTGAGCGAACTGTTTTATTTATAATGGAGTGTACACAGAGACCGGAATGAGTCTTTCAACAAAGTGATAATTCGCATTGTAAAAAAATATTTAAAAAATTAAAAAAAAAAAAAAATGTTTTGATATAAGCTTTTATTTTAACTGAACTGAAAAGTCGAAGGTGCTTAAAAAAAATCAAATTTTTCATATGTTGATATCTTTAGCGGCCTAAGCCTTCATGCATAGTCATATGTGGGAGACTCTAAAACAAGGAAAAACAGTATAGTGAGTCCTGATATACTATAAACTACCCTACACATTCCTTCAGTTATTCATCGAACCACATTTTAACGTGTGTTGTTATAGGGTAAGCGGTCAAATTGGCATCATTTTAGTTATTTATTCGGTCCAAAATATGTTGGTGTACTAAATTTCATACGACCTGTGGATTGTGAGCAATAAACCAAGACGAATAGCTGGACAGTCGGCAGGATATGCTTAAATAAAATCAGAAAATAATTCAGAATTAATTCGTATAATGAAAGTTGGTTCTATTTCAATTTCTTTTGGATGTTGCACACACCCTCACAAACTTAGCATACCTTTGTACCACAAGTTGTTTTCACTTTTGCATTCAGCAACAAAAGTTTATTTGAAAATAAATTTTTTCTTGGCAAAAATTGGTGAAAACCAATATTTTGGCAGCAGAAAATTTCGATCTTCCATGTGTGGAAGGTGTCCGTTCTTCCATATAATGATTCTTAAAAATGAAAAAAAAAAACATGTTTTTACATGATCGGAAGATGTACTTTTTACATCTTCACATATATCTTTACTGTTCGAAATTTGGAAAATGGTGATTCATTTTCCGAAACCTTTTGCACGAAAGAGTGAAAGTGTAATAAGTGTTTCGTCAACATAATGAACTGAACTCAATTTGAGAGTAAGCCGATTGGCGATTCCAACTCCCTCTTCAGTTTTTCATTACATACTTACCTTTCGGTTGCATTAGGATTGTTCTAAGGTATTTAATTGTCTTGGGCCTTGCAGAGTTCGCAGAGATTGTTTTTTAATTTAGTGGTAACAAGCTCATGCAAGGAGCAACAACGAACGAAAATGGCAGCTACACATCATTTTTTTTATACCTTATAAGAAAATTCACATTTGTATACTCTTAGATCGGCAAACTTTAATCGATTGTGAAGGGAATTAACCAAATTGACCAATTAAATTGGAAACTTGTTTACTGCATACCTTCGATCCGCAAGAAGATAAATCTTTAAATATCATTGCAAACATGAATGTGAATTGAAGAGATGTTAAAATTTTCTTATCTTTTTTCATTTTTTTTTTTTTTAAATAAACACATATGAACATAGATCATCATGAATATATAATACCTTTAAAAGTTCAAAGTAATATCCGGGCATCAAAGGCGAGGTGGTGGATATATAAGTCCAAAAGTAAATAAAAATTGTAGTTATTATAGAATAAATTGAATTATGTAAAATTATTTAAGTAACACATAGGTGCTTTGAGCACGACAAAAATTATTATCAATTAGTGTAAGTGTGTGCGGTTTTGCGTGTATGTGAATTCAAATTGCACAACACACACACACACACACACACGCGCGCGCGCGCATATTCACATCCATACAAACATATGTACGTACAAATGTGAATACATTCATACATACATACATACATACATACACACACACAATATATATATCTATATCACAAACAAACACACACACACACACACACACACACACACACACATGCACACACGCACGTACGCACATACTATAGCACACAATTGATACATCGATACACAAATCAATCACTTAGTATTATATATTTTATTTTATATTATTTAATTTTTTTTCTTGTAAATATTATTTAAGAATACAATTAACATACATTTGTATGTACAAATATTTATGAATTCCTGTAGTTTCTATTAACTGGGGTCTTACAGCAATTATTTCTATACATATTCTATATAATATAACTCGCTTAGATTACCGTTCCCAATTCGATTCGACACACTATTCGATTTTTGATGTAA